CATGCAGCATAAAAGTTAATCAAGAGAGAACAATTCTAAGATGCTAAGAGCTAGCTCCAGTCTCCTAAAGCTTTCATCCTTGCCTTTCTTCATATTTTCTAGGTTTTTAGTAGACATTTCCATTAGCATGTCAGGATTTTAAGAGAGGATAAAATGGCAGTAAAACAATACCTGCTGAAAACATCAAAATTCATACTGATGTAATACCAAAAGATAATTTGTTAACTTTTAATAATTTCTTTTATTGAAAAAAAAACCCCTTCTACTGTGATATAAACTAAAATACTACACAAGTCATTTTAGCTTATTGGCAAACGGATATTTTTCTTCTGCTAATTGTACTAGCATCACACATTCTATTCGATGCCTGAGAGAATTCTTACGAAGTTATTCTCACTACCCAAGTACCTGCTATTATTAAGACCCAGAGTATAAAATACAAGATGAAGTGCACTTTGGCAAACAGGTTGCCAAGATACTAATCCAACGTTGCTCTCAATGTCATGAAAAAAATTGTAATATGTTTTGATCTTGAAAATTATCTTCAAATGGACAGATAAACTTGAGGTGTCTAGGTGGCTTAGCAGATTTCTACTCGGTGTAGTAGGACTGCATTGTCACTAACAGGAATCTCTCTGCTCAGCTGTATTTTCAGGATCCTCTTAGAATCCAAATAAAGCAGAAATTGAGGAAATCATCTGAGTTTCTGTAGCTCAGCAAGCTACTCTTGCAAACACATACTAAGCATTAGAATTTATACTCTTTAAAAAAATGTGCAAATAATACAAATTCGCCTACCAGGAAGACAGTGTCTTCCTTGATACCAACAGAAATTGAGTGCAGTGCATTAGCAGTACAAAGGGGAGAGACCATGCATAGCTGGTTTCTATAGCTTAGGAACAGAATTTTACTTTTTTATATAGCAGCGGCCACGTAATTCTCTGTATTCCCCTCCTTCACTGTGTCAGCAAGCCACATTCCAGTGCCACATCTGGTGAAGAAGCCATAGGCAAAACTGGATAGCCACCATTTCCATTTGCTCTTACTACCCTACATACCCAGAGGACTTTTCAGTGGAGAATGATGGGCCACAGTCAGCACTATAGCTGGTCGGCTTCTCACACCCTCAGGCACCATTTTGCACGCCCTGGCAGCACACGTGCAATGACCAGCTCCATGGCTCCCCGTAAGCCACATACGGGCTTTCACAGATCCGTATAGATTTGGACTAGGGCCACTGGAAGGATTCCACTGAAGAGGAAAAAATTCAGCCACCTATCCAAACTATGTCAGATGTATAGCAGAAACAAGTCACACTTTAGCACAGACAGGAACTGGAATGGCAGAGTACACAAGCGAAACGGCACTCAAAAACTTGTGATAACTCATGGCAGACATAATCACGCTTTCGTGTTAGAACAGTGGTTTCTGAACAAGGAAATGATCAATTCCACTTGTGAATGATTTTGTTTGTGTAAGGCTGATTTTTCCTTCACTTGCATGGACTTTGAAGATTCACTTTTTTAACACATGCTAAAAGATGCTGTTTAAAAGCTGCTTGACAGAACTAGTCATTATATGAAGTGCAATTAATTTCCTCAATCTGGAGAAAATAAGGTACATGAGAGCATAGAAAAGTCAATTCTATAACTTCACTTTTCTTTATGATAACTGCCTCTCAGACACATCTCATCCATAGCCATCAGACCATAAAACTAGGCTATTAAGTTAAAACTTGCACTTTAAAAATCCACAAAACCTTGTGGTAGGAATGTGAACCATGACCCCTTCAGTTATTTAGGAGATCTAGGCATCTTCAACATTATTACAAGCGGCCATTAGGACCAAATCCATAGTCTTTACTGATTTAAGAGTCATCCAACTGTATTTATCTAAGTGCTACTTGAGTGAGCTACTGTTGTGAGATTATGACTTTCAGAGCTTTACATTTGTGCTAGAAGGCAGCCAGGAAAACTAAAGATCAGATCCAGCATCTCAGTTTGAAGCCTAAGGTCTCATTAACTTCAGCTAAGTCTCTTTTATATCTGTCTCCCATTTGCCTCACCACCTTTTCTATTGGCTCTGGCTATAATAGTGAGAGATCACAGGTGAGAAACCAAACACTTAGTGAGAAGCAGCTACAAAAGCGATTACACGGTTTTTCTGTGGTTTATGACTTTTTTCCCCTAGACATATATAGGAATACATATATATATTTTGCAAATTTTGACTTTCTGCAAACATTGCAAGCATAGCACAGCCACCAAAATCATAAACATTTTAAAGTTATACATAGCCACACTTCCTAGACAGAAGACGGATGGTTAGTACTGCAGTTCCAGTGAATTTAGTATTGTATACTTCGTCTTTAAAAAAAACCTTTCACCTTATTCTGCTTGTTTTAAAATATTTGACCCTTCTTTTATTCCACGTAGAACTACCTCAAAGCTGAATCCATGCACTCCGAGTTCTCCTGGGGGGAGCTCTATTAATGCAGGAGGACCCACTGTATTCCTGTTTACAGTATGCTTTGGTTCTGTATGTAGTGTTTAAAAAAATCCACTACTTCAGTACTATGAGATTACTACTATTAGCCATCAGCTCATTTTAACAAAACCACTGGCAATGTCTCTGCCACCGAAGATACTTCAAAGATTGATGACCTGAATTTGCCTTGAAGCGTTATGGAAAATGACTAACATACTAATGAACACCACAAAGTGTTATTGTTAACACTGGGAAAACCACTCGAGCTCCAATTTGCAAAGGTACTTGGAGAATTTTACTGTTAACTTCAAAAGAGACAGGATTTCAACCTTAAATTTTTTTCTGTTGACTCTTAGAAACTGCTTTACCCCTTTCTGGATAGTTTATGCTATAATGCCCCTAAAATCGTGAATTTATACTGACAAAAAGCTTTTCATAAAGGGGAGAGAGACAGATAAACAAAGTGGCCCTTACTGCCCTTCTTAAATCCCATGGAGCCCACTGATTACATTAGTTTCCAAATTAATCAGACAGTAACGCTTCCCACATGTCTCTTCATCCCTGAAAAGCAGCTTTCTGTATTACCGTGCCCTCATTTTACTCAAACTGTTATTTTCAAAACATGACGAGTTTAGTGTTCTCTAAACATTACTCTCAAACACAGAAGTTTTTAAAATGACTGTGACTCCTTAAGAAAGATGTTATTACCTTTAAACATATTTCTATTTTATTTCTGTAACAAAAAATACCTGAAACAAAACCTATTGTTCTAACATGCAAAGTTAGTTATTTTGATACGTACTCTTAAACTTTTCTGCATTATCAATGTTATGTAGTTTCAAAACTGGTTCGCACATAAAGTATGAAAGTACAATATAAATAAAATAGTTTATTACAAGTATTTTAAGAGAGCTCTACAATGCACTTGCAAAACATTTTATACAGTATTCTGTCTTTCAATATGAAACAATTCACATAGGGAGAAAAAATCTCAATATATAATTATAGTCATTATTAATGTACAGAGTTCATCTGTCATACAAAAATCACAGTAACTACAGACTGTTTCTGAGTATTTTTCCTGCTTTTATGCTCTCTGAAAATGGCAAAGAATAACATGTACGAAAACAATAAAAACTGTCTTCACCCTTCACTTCATTCATACCAAATACCACAAAGCTCATGCCACAGCAAAACCTAAATAAATCACTTAAAAAATTAAAAAAAAAACCCATTTCACTTAAATAAATATGGATCTATTTCGACAGTGAAAAGAATGCCATGTATCTTACAGATCTGTTAATTTAGAAATAGTATTTAAAACTTCAAGTTTCAACTATTCACAAGTTGCATAACAAAGAAAATATCCTAAAAGGTATTTTTTTCAGAGGAAGAAAAAAGAAACAAACTTAATTCTTGCTTACAATGAATAAAGCTCCACTGCACTTACACTTTTTGCCAGCCCCACAGCACAAAGGGGAAAGCTCTCTACCTACCAGAAAGTATAACTACAGACTCTATTAACAGAAAAAAACGGAATTACTTAAAGCTAAAAGTAATTTTCAGTCTCATATTTGAGGTAATGAGAACACAAATTTCTGACAAAACTGCTCATCTCAGTTATCATGTTTTAGACAACATTTCTTTTACTGGTGCAATACGTACACTAGAAGGGAAGGAAACTGGAGCAGATAGTACGCCTGTTTGTAATACTAATGATAACTTACTGGCCTATTTTCTTGCAGAAAAATAGTTCAGCATTGTATGAATTGGCCAAAATAGCTAGAAAAGGCAAGGAATATACAAAGAAGTGGAGAAGTGCATTAATTGACTATAATTATTTTAGCATTGTCTACCTATATTTTATCATAAATAAGGAAAAGATCTAATTCTTCATCCATAGATCTCCAAGCTCATTACAAAGCAGTTACATTTTTTCTATTAACTGTTCTATAATGCCACATTAACATTTTTTTCATTAAAATTTTCCCCCTTTTTCTACTTTCTTCTTTTTTGCATCTTTTATCTAAAAACTCATTTTTTTTAAACAAAAAACCCCCATGAAATAAATACAGGAAGTGTCCTTTGTTTGCAACATACAAGGAGTCAGAAGAAAGTAAAAGGACCATTTTTGCTGTATTCTGGAAATTACCTGTTTATCTTTACTTTTCTGACCGTTATCATTGGACAGCATAATGTCACAAAATACTATATGGGAAAAGGTATAACTTCTAAAATACAGGATTCATGGAGCACTGCAGATTGCGGCAACACTATTAATGCAGTAAGAATGTGTATTTATAAACTAATTTAGGAAAAGAAATGCAAAGCATTTTTTGTTACAGGCTTTTAAATATCTTCTCACATTCATTACAAATCATATCAAGTACACAGTTAACTAACTCTTCACCAGGCCATCTCCATAACAGGAAAAGATAATCCCCTTCAGTCAAAGGTTCAGCCTAACATAAGCCCTTTAATAGTTATGCAACCAAAAAATTTAATACATTATTTCACAGGACATTATCCAGTTTTGATAAAATCAATATATTGTCCGGTTGTTGCTCAGCGGAAATCAGCTTTAAGCTCTCTTTCAAGTGAGTAAGTTGATGTCTTTTCAAATGTGGGGCCTGTCTGAAATTTTTACCACAAACTAAACATTCAAATGGCTTCTGTCCAGCATGCATTAGGTAATGTCTTTCAAGCTTAGAAGGTGATTTAAAAGTTTTAAAGCAGATGCTGCATTGATACAATTTGGTAACAACTTCACTTTTCTCAGTACCCTCAGAAAAATCATGCGAATAGCTGTAACAGCTTTGCTCTGTTTCCAACAATTTACTACACAAATACGGCTGGGCGTTTCTACCGCTGGTGTCAAGAACAAAGTCCCCTGACTTCATTTCAACTTTGATTTCAGCTGCTTGGTTTGACTGAATCAGCTCAAATGCTTGAAAGCCAGATGTCTGTAAAGACATTGGAGAATAGCCCGAATAATCCACAGGCTGAGAAGACTTAAATTCGGTGTGATCTCCCTGGTGACTGAAAAGTTTGTTCAGGTTTTCAAATTCTACCTGACAAACGGGGCTTTTACAGGGTCTCTTTTCAGTATGGGTGAGCTGATGTCTTTTTAAGTGAGCTGACTGTCTAAATGTCTTCCCACAAACATTACAGCCAAAGGGCTTCTGTCCCGTGTGTATAAGATAATGTCTTTGAAGTTTGGATGAAGATGGAAAGATTTTTTCACATCTGTCACATTTACACACTTTGTGTCTGTTATGTATATTTTTAGCAGAAGCTGAAAAAGCACAGTGAAGTACTTCTGGATTATCAAAGAAACCATCATCTGATGAACCATAAAAACCATCATCTTTACTATGCAGTGAATCATCGATGTTTAACATGCTTTCACCAGTAAGCATACCTTTTAAATTCATTCCGAAGTCGTGAGGTTGCGGGTGCTCTTGCCAAGGTGATGGCACAGTAAACGTTCTTTTCATCCAATTACTAAACGCCTTGTGCACGTCAGGCTTGCTACGGCAATTCTTGAAAGGTTTAGTGGAAGCATGCTGATCAGAACGCTGATCTCTAGCTGCAGCCAGGTCACAACTTTTGAAGCGACCCAATTTTACTTTTTTCCTGTCAGTCAGAGAAAAATCTGTTTTCTTTCCTCCAGTACACTTCGGCTTCATCAGCATCTTATTTTTCATGCTGACTGTGTGGCTGCATGCTGTTGCACCATTATTTGAACTTTTGCCACCTCTCAGATCACAGCATTTGTGCAAATTTAGAACCTGCTCCGTTTCAAAACACTGGTTGCATGCTGAGCACTGAAAGGGTACAATATAAATCGAGTGAGCATCACGTGGGTCACTCTCCTGTGACTCGTAAGTGTCAGCATTCTCAAAACTATCCCTCTTTCCTTCCAGCAGGCTCTGTGGTCTGGGATATTTACCAGTCTTTGCTTTGTACAAAATATTGGGGCAAGTCTTATTTCTGGCATGGAGCTGTTTGTGCTTCATGAGTTTGCTCTGTATTTTAAACCCCTTCTGACAAAAGCAGCACTGAAAAGGCCTTTCTTCTGTGTGTGTGAGCTGATGGATTTTCAAGTGCGTTGACTGTCTGAAAGATTTACTGCATGAAGAACACTTAAAAGGTTTCTGGCCACTGTGAATAAGGAGGTGTCTTTCTAGCTTAGATCTTGATGGAAATGTCTTGTTACACGATTCACAAGCATGAGCTTCCTTTCTCCTTCTGGCACCATGTAGATGATCTGCCTTCCGGCACTGATGCAGCATCCACCTCTCTTCAGTTCTAAAAGATTTCCAGCATGCAGAACATCGAAATATGCTGTAAGTGACCCTATCTTGCTCAAAATTCACAGAGTTTTCTGCTTGCTTGGTATCATTCTGATAATTTTCATTATGAAGCTGCTGATGCTTTAAGAAAGTGATTAAGTTTTTGAAGTTTCTATGACAAACACTACACTTAAAAGGCAGATTATGGGTTAACTGATGCCTCTCCAGGTGGACTAGCTGCCTAAACGTTTTATGGCATACGTGACATTCAAACGGCTTTTGACCAGTATGTATCAGATAATGCCTAGCTAGCTTTGATGGAGTTTCAAACTGTTTATAGCACATGTCACAAATATATGGCTTTTTCTTGGGTATCATGTCAGCTGCTACATGCTCCTGAACTTGTAACATTTTCAAAAAGCAATTACACCTCGCCTACAGTTGGTTTCTTCAGATACGTATTTCAAGTGAAATCATCTATTGCACACGAAGATGGAAGACTGTAGAAGGAGCAAATTTTCTTAGGAGAGCTATTCTTAAATCCCACAGGTGCCTAAAATAAGAGAGACACTATTATTTTAGCCTGTATTAATACATAATTGCTTAAGTGTCTTGTTTGCTACATAAGAGACCAAAAGCTTCTAGATTAGAATACTCCAGATTTAACATCTTAAAACACTTTTCTCATTATAATCACTCATCATATTACACGATGCAGAAAAACTACTTTCCAGAAGAAACAAATTTAAGTCATCTGTGTTGCAACACATATATTCTTTAGTCCTGCATGTTACTTCCAAATAATACACAGTTCAGCTACATCATATTTAGATTATATACACATAAACCATATTCTTAAAAAAAATCCACAAAAGCTTACTGTAATAAATTTCTCCCCTACAGCATTAATTCTAACTCCAGATACAATATTTATGAAGATGAGAGAAAGAGAGAAGAACTAGGGATGTTGGGGCTTCAGAAATAAACAGAAGCATAATCATTTTTGCTTTATCTCAAAATGGCAAACACCACAACGAGTCAGCAAGAGCAACACACAAACCACAAACTACAACCAGAATTAGGATAACCCCCAAAACAAGGATGAACACAGGCTATGTTCACCATCTCACCAGAGCTAGAACATCAGAGTTGTGATACCTAACCATACGTATACTCTGAAGTCATCATAAATACAGAGGTCATTATCATAATGCATCATAATGAATATTTTAGCCTAAATGAAAATCATGACATAGTCAGTTTTAATTTTCCTTGAATTTTCAATAGACCAAACACATTTGAGCAAGCTACTGTGTCTCAGTTAAGGCATAATGACTTGCTAACAAGAAACAGTAACTTCGCAAGTACCTGAGTGCATGCAAAGTTATTAAAATACTCATAAGAACAGCTACAAAGACCTCGAGTAACCATTTAGTCCAAGCCTTCCGCTGTGAAGCCAACTCATGTCTGGACAGTCTCCAAAGTGGTCTTAACTTCTGCTGAAGGAGGTTCCTTAACCTCAGCAGGGCTCCTGCTCCAATGTGTCACCCTCTCACAAGGCTTCTCCTTGCATTCAGCTGAGCCTTTCTTTACTTTATTTTCATTGTCCTTTCCCATGTGAACCTGGAAAATAACTAAAAAAAGTGTTCTTTGTCACAACTTTATATACTCAAAGTCTCTTTTCTTCCTCTTTTTTTTTTAACTGGGAAAATTCTGGGTTTTTTAAGTATTGCTTTTAGGTCCACTTCAAACAAAAAAAGAAAAAAAAAAAGAACTGATTGGTCTTTTTAATAATCTCTGGACTAACTTCAGTGGGTCACATCCTTCCTAAATTGCAGCACCTAAAACAGATTAAGTATTCGAGTCCACAAAAGTAGTAAGAACAACAGGATAAAAATACCTCTACGGTATTAGCAATATTCCCTTATAAAAAATGAAAAGAATGGAGGGAGAAAATTTTAAAGCAACAGCGTAATAGTCAGTTAGGACTTGTAATAACTCTAAGTACACAATACATTTCTACTAACTGTAATTTGTGGTATATTGATACTACAACTACTATAAAAGCCTAATCCAATTTAAAGCAAGTTACAATGAAACTCCAGACATATGCACAGAAGACTGAAAATACCTGGTGAATCATGATTTTTCTTAAACTTAAAGGAAAGAAACCTGATCATCTGGTACAATCGTTCCACCTCAAATAGATATGTTCCTGCATAATTGTGGGCCTTACTAAATAAGGTTTGGACATACGCCTTACGACACAGCTGTCACTACACTCAGGAGTTACCTAATCTCACTGAAATGATTCAGGATAGGACTTCTCAATGCTATGAAGCAGCTGAGAAAGTCAGCTTTTCCTTTCCTATTCTCTGCTCCTGTAGAATTTTAACAGCTGCTCGGTTTGCGTGTTCTTTCCAAGATGCAAGAAAACACAACACTCTTAGGAGACGCCCTTTTCCTCCCAGTTGTTTCACATCATGTGAAGGCAGGGAGTTTAAGAGAGAGTAAATGTGAGACACCAAATGCTTTCTAGTTTGTGCTACCGTGAAGCCAGAGACAGGTAGGCTGAGAAAAGGAGAAAAGCTGCTCTGCTGTGCTGGACGTTTCTGTACAGCTCAAGGCAGCCTCCATGAGCATGGAAGGAAAACCTCCTGAGAAAGAACTTTAAAGACTGATGAATTTTAGTTAACATACTGTCATACAGATCTAATTTACACATCAGGAAAGTGCTCAAACAGTAAAGTGACATGCAAAGAAAAAAAAAGTAAGAGACAGCTGTGGCATATTACACAAGGGATTTTGTATTTAGCTTATAAATATTTTAAAGGTTCTATCTGATGAATGAGGAAAATGCTCTGTAGTACAAGGTGTCAAAAGCAGAGCTTCTTGCTGTGGTCTTCTTGCCCTGTGAGAGACTAAAGGCTCAGATGAGGTAAACTTAGGGGACGCAGGGGAAGGAGAAAGGAGTCAAGATGGGCATTACTATGTGGCCCAAATATATTTTCAAATCCTATTTACTCAGGACAGACTTCACCACATCTATTTCAGGGTGCCCTGTGCCTCGCGTATCTAAGGAATAAACATGCTGCTGCTAAAGATCAAAGAGCAAAAGACAAGCTTGGAATATCATCTCCTGCCAGCCTTGGAAGTACACCGGCCTTTCTTAATTAGAGTCAGAAAACACACTTCCCTATGTGATAAGGATTTAGTCTGTGGCATAGGTCAAATTTAATATTAAATTGACACTGCTTTTCATCTTGAATGCAAGGTCATACAGAAAAATGAAGTCAAGAAGTAATGTAGGCCATTGAAGACCTGGAGTCTAAGCTGGAACAGCAGCTGCGTATGCCAACAGCAAGCATGCCATCCATACCAGTATGTGTAAACAGAAGTAAAGTTTTGATAGCACATACTACTCACTACTGTTTAGAAGTGAGCTGCAGTACTCTATCCGGTTTTGAATACTGCCGTTCAAATTGAATCAATATATGAACTAACTGGAATAAGTCCAGAGAAGAGGATCAGGAATGATCAGTGCTTAAATACATAATATATAGGACAAGATTAAAGTACCTGGGAATGTTCAAGTTAAAATAGAGGAGACCTAATTAAAAAGAAAACAAAACATAAGAGCCAGCTTTCAAGAAAATGCAAACAAGCTGTTTCCCAAGCTATTTATAGTTGTGACTGGAAATGGATTCAAATTATGGCAGAGTAGATTCACGTATACGACTGTCCGTACAATTGCAAAGTTTTTCTTAATGAGTATACAAAGAAGTTGCGTGGGGAGATTGCTCTGTCTCCAACAGCGGAGGTATCCCAAACAGGTTGTTCAAACATCTCTCAAATTCCCACACCCATATAGCTGGCCCTGTACAAGATGAATATTCTGGCTTCTTTTCCTATGACTCATTACTGTAATTCAAAACAAACCACTCAAGAACTGAATACTGCGTATGTTTCCAAATTTGCCACGGAAGGATTCTTCTGCATTGCTATTAGTGCATCCTCAAACCCTTGAGACAAGCTAATGCTTATAGCTTTCCAGACTCAATTACAAGAAGATTAATTACAATACTAAATGCGTGGAGAACCTGAGATGTCTCTTGTAACATTAACAGCAAAACAGACAAGTGAAAACCTAGCTGCTGATTTCTGAAACACACAGCACGCAACAGAGCGCGGAAAGTGTGCACCCGGCAGACCGAACGCACGGAGGCCGCACCCCCTCACCAGCCGCCCCCGGGGACGAGCTCCGCTCGCTGCCGGGGGGAACAGACTTCACCAGAAG